TAGGGCGATGGGGCCGGGGCGCAGGTAGGGCGTCGGGACGACGGGGCCGCAGGTAGGGCGGCGGGGCCGGGGCCAGGGCCGCAGGTAGGGTCGCCCGAGCCGCGCGCAGGCGGCCCGAGCCGCGCGCGGGCTTGGCGCCGCCCGTACGGGTCGCGCGTAGGCCTGGCGCGGCCCGTACGGGCCGCGGACGGGTCTGGCGCGGCCCGTACGTGCCGCGCACAGGCCACGACGGGCGACGGGGGGCGACGCGGAGGTCCCCGTCGCCCGTCGCAGCGCCTCCCGGGAGCGGCGCGCGGCATGACGGGGCAGTAACCCGCCGTGCGCCCGCCGCGCGCCTCGGGGCGCACGGCGGGCAGAAAACCGCCGCGCTCCTCAGGGCGCACGGCGGGATGAAAAAAATGCCGCATGCCACGGGGCGTGCGGCACAGAGAGTAGTGATAGCAGTAGCAGTAGGAGTTGCAGCGGAAGTAACGAGGTGGTGAGCCCACCAACAGGATCGATCCAAGGGGATCGACCTGCTCTGATAGCATGTGAAAGTTTAGAAGAGAGAAGAGAGGATTGCACTAGCAAGAATGGTGATACAAAATAGCAAACCCTAGAAGGGTTGTACTCGCTATAGAGCACCCCACTACTGGCTAGAGCATAAGATAACATTCTGACAAACGCCAGCAGTCAGTAGGAATCGGGCCAACTACTGACGAGACTGCCTGCTCGCCCAACCCCACCGACCCTCACCGAGTCATAGTACCGATTTATGCTATCGATCGAGCTCGGACGAATAAGGAGGGTACAGCGACGGATTGCCCAGTATTGATCCACGGGAAAATATAGGGAGCAGTAGTGAAGATTTTTATCGACGAAGGAGCAAGCCACAGTTTAGTTGATACTGCCACCGCACGAAAACTGCAACAGACACTTCCGTTGTTTACCTGAGATAGACGCACGCTTAGTCGACGGCACGCCACTAGCCATACGGGAAAAGGTGGAGAGAGTCAAAGTCCGCTGCGGGGGGAATTTTGGATATACATAGAAAATGCTCGCAACGACACTAGATGGGCACGACATTTTACTAGGACGTGATTGGCTGCGACGGTATAACCCGCGAATTGACTGGACGACGGGCAGCTGCACTGTGCGAAGTAGCGGTAACTGGGTCGAGCTACCTCGCTGGCAGTCGCCCGAGTCTTCAACGGTACACGTCAATGCCGTCACCATGAAACGGGCTGTCGCTGCTAGAGCTGACGTGTACGCAGTAGACATTGCAGTAGTAGAGGGAGCAAAGCAGCCGAGTGGTTTCAAGAAACTGCTGGCAGCGGTACCTCCCGAACTACAGGAACTGTTGAAACGATACCCCGGAATTTTCCACGACGTCTTACCGGAAGGACTGCCACCTCAGCGAGCACATGACCACCAAATAGAATTAGAACCGGGGGCACAGCCAACTGTACAGCGCCAGTTCAGACTGACACAGCCCGAGCTCGACGAACTAAGGAAACAGTTAGATTACCTGTTAGAGAAGAAATTCATCGGACCGAGCTCGTCACCGTTTGCCGCACCGATACTGTTCACGCCAACAAAAGACGGAGGATTTCGCATGTGCATTGATTACCGAGCGCTCAACAGGGTAACAGTCAAGTCGCGGTACCCCATTCCCCGCGCCGACAAACTGATCGACCAACTGCGAACAGCACGAGTTTTTTCAAAAATATATTTACGGGGAGGTTACCGTCAGATTAGGGTCGAACCATCGGACTGTGCCAAAACAACTTTCCAGACTAGGTACGGGTCATTCGAGTACACCGTGATGCCTTTCGAGCTCACCAACACACCAGCGACATTTCAGATGGCCATGAACGAGGCGTTTAGGCCGCTTTTAGACAAATGTGTGATAGCTTACCTCGACAACATCCTCGTCTACAGTCGCAACAAGCAGCAGCACTTCGCATATCTGGAAGCAGTATTTAAGATTTTAGACAAGCACCGGCTACTGACAAAGGGTTCCAAGTGCGAGTTCTTTCAGGACAGGTTAGAGTTTTTTGGGGCACGTTATTTCGGAGGCTGGGGTCGAAATTGACCCAAAGAAGTTAGACACGGTAAAAGCCTGGCACCCCCCGACGAATATCACGGAACTACAGAGTTTTCTGGGGTTTGTAAACTACGAGCGTCGGTTCCTCCCCGACATGGCACGGTTAACGGCGCCACTGACGGACTTATTACGGAAGGGGGTCACTTTTACGTGGGGGGAGAAAGAGCATGCTGCCTTCTCTGCCCTGAAAAATGTTATCTGTTCACCGCCCGTCCTGCGTATCGCCGACCCACACCGCCCATTCGAAGTAGTTACCGACGCAAGCGACATCACCATCGGAGCCGTACTGCTAAAGGACTTCGGCAACGGCCTACAGCCCATCGCATACGAGTCACGAAAACTGCATCGAGTTCACATACAACAATTCACCTTCCGCCATCATCGAGTTCACATACAACAATTCACCTTCCGCCACGACCCAACGGTCACCGTTTTACTTGAACTACGGACAAGACCCAACAGTACCCATGACCCCGAATCCCGACAACTCAGTGCCACGGGCACAACAGTTCGCCGAAATATTACAAGCAGCACAGACTTGAGTAGCAGACGCAAATAAAAAAATCCAACATCATCGCTGAACGAAATGTCGACCGCCACCGCAGACCTGTCACTCACCAACCTGACGACCTAGTATTACTCGACACTCAGAATCTACGACTGCTCATCACCCCAAAACTCCGCCCCCGATATTGCGGGCCATTTCGCATTAGGCACATGATTACGCCCGTCACCGCCCACCTCCTCCTCCCCGCTGACTGGTACGTCAGCCCCTCATTCCACGTCAGCCTGCTTCACCCTTACGTCCCGTCCACAAGCCAACTGCCACGCAGCCGGCCCGCCAGCATGACACGACCGCCGACCGAACCAATTGTCAACCCTGAGAAAATTATGAGCCACAGAGTTCGTGACCCTCGAGGAGCCCGAAGGATCGAGTTCCTGATCCGCTGGAAAGACCGTACAATCACCGAAGACAACTGGGTTTCCCTGGATAGAATCGAAAACCACCCCGTCCTCACCGAGTATCTGCGTAGCCGAAACTTCAGGGATGTACACGCACTTTCCTAACGAGGACCTCCTTAGGGGAGGGAGGGGTAGATTCGGTCCAGCGTGGCAGTTTTGCAACCGACCACACCCACTCCACAGGCCATGCGAATGTGGATACATAGGTAGACGAGTTTGAGCAAAATAGCAAACCCAATCAACAGCATGTAGCCCCAGCAACTTCAAGATCGTTTTGAACAACTTTTCGTGAAGCAACCCCAAACACGTGCTTCACAAATATCTGTGCACTGTTGTTGAGCGCGGTTCGCTTTGAGCGAACTTGCTGTGAACGCCATCTCAGTCCCAGGCCCGTCACGCAACAACCACAGTCCATTACCGTTACCACTGTAGTTTCGCTATATATTCTTTGCTCATGCCTTGTACTCTTGCTTCGATAGTGCAATTCTCGCTCGCTTACTCAATTGCACTCGTAACGAAAACATCGGTGCAGTCCGCATAATGCGCGCCAACGTGCATCGGTGCGCTAAGTCTCTGGGCTTCTTGGCTGACATAAACGCAAGCCAATCCGGTATAGTACTCACTCTCACTGGTGCGCACTGGTGCAAGTCGTTGCGAGGCGGTGCTCTGTACTGTACTGGGCAGCCCCAAGTGTGCTGTGCTTGCACGGGTTCGCGCCAGTACGAAGCACTCAAGGGGCCCATCCCCATGAGTACTCACTCGTTCAGAATTCGCGCAGTCGCACAACCAACCAATCAAACAATCGGCTATTTCACATGTGTTACAAGGGTCTGCGTTTCCGTGCAGACATGGTTTTGGGCCAACATCACAGGCATGCAAAAAAGTCTGGTAACCCTATTCGATTGTATGCAGAACCGTCGATACCCCAGTTCCACTGCGCAAATCTGTCTGGTACCGCCACTCAGAACACTGTGTAACAGCTGACGCAGCACAAAAAGAAAGCAATACGTGCAACAATCGAATACGCTTTCGATTTCTTTTCATTCATTTCTTCCCGCGCCTTATTTGGCGCCTGACAACGATTTTTGCGGGCAACAACTTTCCGTTGAATGTGCACGATAATTTCGACCGGAGAATTCGTTGGAATGAAAGTAGTATATATTGCTACCGGGTGCTGTTAGGGCAGGCAAGAAAAAAAAAACCCTAGGGACCGGGACTCATTTCAGGGAGGGATCAACCCTAAACACGGGTAAGGGCATTGTTTTTAGGGTTGATGCCTCCCGAGTCGTATCCCTTTCCGATTGGGTTTTATTTTTTTCTGCAGGTGTAGCGAACAGTGCTGCTCATATGGCAGAACAGTCGCCCGAATAAATCGAGTTTTATAGGACAACAAAGCGTGGTAATTGTTTTTGAAGTAAATAGAACCGCAATTCTAGGGCAATATGTCAAAAACTTTAAAACCAAGGTATCGACGGTTTTGCATACAATCGAATAGGGTTACCATAATATTTTGCATGCCTGTGATGTTCGCCCCATGGTTTTTCGTGAGCATCGAAACTGTGAGACAATTGCGAAGCAGTGTCATCCACGCGAAATCGTTGGGTGTTCGCAACCAGGAGCTCCAACCACACGGAATCGTTGCTGAGGAAATTGTGTGATTCGACCAGCCACACGAAATTGTTTTGTGGGGGAAACTGTGTGATTCCCACCACACAACTGGACTGCACAACAAGTCATCCGCACCTCCCTCCCTCACCAAGAGTCCCACACACGCATCGTTTCACCAACAGGACAGATATAACAGCACCAGCCGCATCCAAACTTGGACATTAGCTGGATGCTCGACATTGTTAGTACCAAATATCATACAAACCCCACAATTGTCATACAATTAGCACCACGAAGTTAGGCAGCGGCCGCGGTACAATACGTCGAGTCTCCCTTTGAGACAATGGCGGCCGCCGCAACGAGGGAGACGGTCATGTCGGACCTCCCTGACGACTGTCTCGCCTCCGTCCTCTCCTTCCTGCCTCCCGCTCTCATCGCCCGCTCTGCCTCGGTCTGCTCGGCTTGGCGCGCCGCAACCGCGTCCCCGGTGGCGTGGCAGCGCGTGCTGCCGGACCTCTGCCGCCACGCCTGCTTCACCGCGCTGCCGCTCGCCTCCCGCCAACCCCACCCGCGCGCGTGGTGCCGCGAGCTGTGCCGCGGAGTTCTGCTGGACGGCGGGGTGTTCCACGCGCGCATGGACCCCCGAACCGCCAAGCTCACGGTGAGCGTGAGTATATCGAAGGCGTGTGGGGTTACGTGGATGGGCGACCCTCGCTACTGGCACATGGAGACGCGGGGTAACACCACTGGCGCGGTGTTTCCCGACGTGCCGCATCTGCTCCGGGTGTGCTGGTTCGATGTCAACGGACACGTGGCGCTACCGTTCCCGCTGCGCTGCGGGGTGTACGACATGGCATGGCGCGTCTCCCGCGACCCGACGCAAAAAGAGTACTCCCGCGCAGCAGGCGAGCAGCAGAGGCATGCGGGGCGGTGGGAAAAAATGGGGGAAGAGAGTGATGACGACGACGATGAAGACGAGGAGGAGGAGGGCGAGGAGGGTGGCGAGGTGGAGTTAGAGGGAGGGGCGAGAGGGGTGCATGACGGAGAGGGGCCAGCAGGTTGGAGGGGAACGGCCGAAGCAACGAATGTCTCGCACGTGGGCGGTGGCGGTGGCGGTGCAGAAAACCCGTTCCACCACATGGTGGGGTTCATGCGACGGCTGATAGGGCGGGATCGGGGCCAGCACAGCAGAGAGCAGCAGCAGGCCTGGGAGCGGAGGAGGGAAGCGTGGAGGCGAGTGGAGAATCGGTGCTGGTTCAATTGGGTGGGGCAACCTGCATTGAGCAACGTGAGGGAGGAGGGGAGTGCTGGGGGAGGGGGAGGCGAGCAGAGGCGGCTGCGAATCTCCGCTGCCACCATCGCCATGCTGCCTGACTGGACCACCCTGCCTGCCGGCCGTGTGACCATCAGGGGGGCAACGGCAGCGGAGACGGCAGTGGCTCCCACGCTGAGTATGCGCCTGTGGGAGACGGAGAGTGGGTGGTGGAAGAATGGGCTCTACTTGGATGCGCTGCAGCTCACAGAGCAGTGAAGAGGTTTACCAGTCCTAGTCTGGTTTTGGAACATGGCTGGGTCTCAACTTTGTTACAAAGTACAAGGGTTCATGAGTAGCTGCTGTGGTTAGTCCACTCTTTGTGTTGCTATATCTGAGTTGCTTTTGTTGGGCTGAGAGTGAGGCCCCAATGATATTTCTGATTCGGTCTGCAGATTGTAAACTACTGGGAGTTTGAATCCTTGTCTGCGCGAGAAAAACGCTTTATCACTGCAAAGAAAACATAAGATGTGCACATAATTTCTGTAGAGAAATGTTGAAATGTTGTAGTTCGTCTTTGTATAAGGAACCATAGTAGTACAGAACCTTGATTATAGTAGTATGTGTAGCATGTCCTCTGGTTACACGCCTGGTACTAACGAACGAAACGCGAATTCTTAGCTAACCGGTTACGAAATTCTCTCGCCAATCGGCTGGGCGATGCCTGGTCATAGCTGCGGTTCCCCAGCCAAAGCTGGGGGTGACGAGCGCAAACGTCCACGCAACAGCCCGCTCCTCGCATATACGCTTACGATCCTCGCCATCGGTCGTGACTCAACGTGAGCCATTCAACGCCACCCATCAACAGTGTGCGACGGCTCTCCTCATCCGTCAGCGAGTCGTCGCCCGAAAAGGCAACTGCGCGCGAACCGCCTCGAGTCCAACCGCGTCTCGGTTACAACTGCAAACCAACCAATTTGGAAATTCAAACGAGCATTTTGTTCTCCCCCCCCAGCCACAGCCAATTCGCCCTCGATCCTCCTTTCCCAACTCATCTTCCTCCAACCGCCTTTCTTTTTCCCAAATTCGGCCACAGCAGAAATTATCAAAGGTTGCGGCTGAGGTCCTGGGGTGGGTGGCCGTGACCCAAGAAGGAGGCTTCTCTCTTCCATTGCTGTCACAATTTGTGTGGCGGCGGTGGTAGTAGAGCAAGTTTTTCTTCCGCTGCCGCCATTTCTCCGGCTGGAGAATGGCCGCAGTAGCACAACCTGTTACACCAATCCTCGTTCCGTCGACCGTTGCTCCTCCCAGCCATCAACAAATCTCACTGCCGCTCCGTCCGCTTCAATGCGTCCAGTCCTTATCTTCCCCGTCATCGACGCACCGCGCGAATTACGCTATCGAAACAGCTCAGGGCTTCACCGTAGCGAACACCTTTGGACTCCCTACGGACCACTCCACTCCCGATATAGCGTCTCGCCTTGACCACCCATTCACGCAGGTGGACTTTCCAGCATACCCCTTGGTCTCGGAAACTCCCCATATAGCCACTTCGCATACAGGCACGTTCCAGCCATTCACGCCTCAAGCAGTCGGCTCCATCGCGCTCCCATTGGAAACCCTCTCCTCCGATTTCTTCCTTTCTCCCGCCGCGACCGCCGGCGCAAGCCGCGCGATAAACGGCGGGTGGCCCTTAGAGGGCGCGGTCGTGTGGGACGGCGCAACCTCGCAGACACCACCACCTCTACCTTCCGCCCATTATCCGTCCCCCGCTTACCCATCGCCGGCGTACCCATCACCCGCCGCTTACCCATCATCGGCCGCAGCGTACCCATCGCCCGCGTACCCATCCTCCGCGTTCTGGTCGCCGACGGGCCTGTCGCCTGGCTCCGCAGCCGCCGCTTTCGTGCAATCCATCAACGCGCACTCCATAAACGTCGCTTGCTTCTATGGCGGCGGATCGTCTGAGTCGCCCCTGTCCCTCCCCACGGGTATTGACTTCGCAGCGTCCTTTCATCCCGCTTATCCTCTCGACCATGGTTATATGGACGCTGAACACGCTTCCCCCGTCGCCGCCACCGACGAAGCCGCCGCCGAAGCCGCCGCAGGCGCCGCCGCCGAAGCGCTCCCGCCGTTGCGCGATGATGACGCGGATGTTTTCACCGCGGCAGCGGCAGAATTTCGACAGGTCGCGCCTTGGAAGCACGAACAGAGGGAGGCATTTGGATGCGAATTGCCGCACAACCCGCCGTGCAATACGGCGCAAGCGGCGGAAGGAGGAGCGGAAAGTGGGCGGGGATCAGCCACGGGGCGCCTGGAAGCCCTGCGAGCTCCGTCCCATTTAGGGTACGTTTGTTCTGAACATTTCTTACACCCACCCGCCTCAGAATGGAAAACCCCCCTTCCTTCTCAAAACGAGAAGAGGGGCGGCAGAGGAAGAGGAAAGCGAGATAGTGGATTAACATACTCGTCCTTGCCACAGGAATAACGGAAATGGCGCATCTCCCTTCCTCCGAGCACGTGACAATCACCAGGGAACAGGAACAGGACCAGGTCCGTCCAAGCTGGGAATGGCAATTCGAATGGCTCCGGAACGATCCTTTGGCACTCCTGGAACGTTCACCCCTATTTCTAGTGGAAAGCGAGGAAGGAACTCGCTGATGCGAGGTGATGCCACCACTCCCAGCAGTAACTCCGGAACCCCGATCAGAAGCCCGCGCAACAAGCGGGAGCGCACGCGCACGGGAGCAGGAACAGGAACGGGGGCTGAAGTCGGGGCGGAAGCGGAAGCGGAAGCGGAAGCGGAAGCGGGAGCGGGAACGGGAGCGGGAACGGGAGCGAGAGCGCGATTGGGAGCGGCAGTAGCAGAAGATGAATTGGAGGAGCACAGGGGTGAAGGGCTTGCCACGACAGTAGCAGAAGATGAAACGCAGCTCGCTTCGACTACCCCCCCTCCCTGTGACTACGACTCCTCTTTCCTCGCGCACCTGCTCCTCCCTCCGCTGCTCACTCTCCCGCAGTCGCCGATCCCCGTTCCATCTGCCCTTTGGAACCCACACCCTCAGTCGCATCCGTACCCCCACTCACACTCGAGCTCACACCCGCACTTGCACCCGTACCCGTACCAGCATCCGCATATTTTTGTAGCGAGAGACTCCCTAGACGTGCTTTTCAGCAAGTCTTTGCCCACACGCGTGCTGCCCACACGCGCGGCTGTGACACCTGGCGTCGCCGCGACTGCATCGAACCAGGAGGAGCTACTGCAGAGCTCAGTAGAGGATGACATGCTGCAGTCTCAGGCAGAGCAGCACCAACACCACTACCAGCACCACCACAACCACTACCACTATGACGGCTCAATGGATTGCCAGGACCTCGAAGCTTCCCGCTATTACCTCCAATTTGAGCCCTCAGAGTCCCCGTTTCAGCGGTATGCTGCGGTGTGTGAACCCTCTCACCAGCCCGCTCGCTCCTCCCAGGACCTTCCTGTGGAGGGAGAGGGAGGAAGTGAGGGAGCAGAAGGTGGGGGAGTGGAAGGTGGGGGAGTGGAAGGTGGGTCGGGGGAAGGTGATACGCTGGAGTGTGGCGAAGCAGAGGGGTTTGAGCTCGCGTGTGGCGGAGGTGACAGGGAGGAGTGCGGGGACGAGGAGGAGGAGGAGGAAGTGGGGGAATATGAGAGGGATGGAGAAGAAGACGGGGGCAAGGGGGAGGTAGCGGGTGCCATGGTTGCTTGTTCCTCCCTTGCTTCTGCCTCCCTTGCTTCTGCCCGTCCAGAGCAACTCATCGTTCTGCCCACCTCAGGGCTGATCCACGTGCAGACACCCGTGGTGCCCACATCGCTGCCATTCACACTGCAAGACATGAATGTCAAGTTCAGGGACGTGGCAGCAGGCACGGCGAGAGTGGTCACGCCTATGGGTCACGCAGCTGCCACTTGCCACGGATGCTCCGTGCTCGACCGCCTGCTCCACACCAACGGTCAGTCTTGGTGCTTTTTGTGCTTCTGCTACTGCTTCTGCTACTGCTTCTGCTCCTGCTTCTGCTTCTGCTTCTGCTTCTGCTCCTGCTTCTGCTCCTGCTTCTGCTTCTGCTCCTGCTTCTGCTTCTGCTCCTGCTTCTGCTGCTGCTTCTGCTCCTGCTTCTGCTGCTGCTTCTGCTCCTGCTTCTGCTTCTGCTGCTGCTTCTGCTCCTGCTCCTGCTCCTGCTCCTGCTTCTGCTCCTGCTTCTGCTGCTGCTTCTGCTCCTGCTTCTGCACCTGCTTCTGCTTTTGCTGCTGCTTCTGCTCCTGCTTCTGCTCCTGCTTCTGCTTCTGCTGCTGCTTCTGCTCTTGCTTCTGCTCCTGCTTCTGCTCCTGCTTCTGCTGCTGCTTCTACTCCTGCTTCTGCTCCTGCTTCTGCTCCTGCTTCTGCTGCTGCTGCTGCTGCGCTTCCTGCCACCTCATTCTCCCTCTTCACTCACCCATTCCCCGTCCTCGCCCCTTTCCCCATTCCTTCTCACTCCCCCTCTCACTCTTTCAACCCCACTCCTCGTCTCCTCTCTTCCGTTCCCCCATCATCCTCCTCCTCGCCCTCCCTCCAGGTCTGTACGACACACGTCTGGAGGTGCATATGGGGGCAGGTAGCGATGCAGACGTGCACGCCGTGCTGCTCACACGCTTCAGCTCCCACGTGCCACAGCCACAGCCACAGCAGCCACAGCAGCAGCAGCAGCCGCAGCAGAATCAGCCACAGCCACTGCCGCTGCCTCTGGGCATGGTGGTTTCTGAGACGCCCAAGACAGAGAGCACCACCGAATCCGGCCTGGTTTGCATCTCCTCGGTCACCGGCTCGGGGCAGCAACAGGCGGAGGGAGGGGCGAGGCGAGGCGCGGAGCGGAATGGCAGCAGCAGCATGAGCAACGCCGTGTGGAGTGCTAACGGGTGCCATCCCCGGCCTGTGGTCCGTTACGAGCACAATAGCCGCAGCAGGAGCTGTAAGGGAGGGGCATTGACCGAGGTGGGGGAAGAAGGGGAGGGAGAGGAGGGTGAGGAGGAAGGGGGAGATGGGGCGGAGAGGGTTGAAGGAGAGGAAGAGGGAGAAGAGGAAGGGGATGTAGAAGAGGAGGCGGAGGGTGAGGAGGAGGAGGGGGAGGAGGAGGAGGAGGAGGGAGGTATGGTAGAGCGTCCGAGGGGGGGATCAGACGCATCAGTGAATATGAGCTCTCTGACCGTAGTGACAACAGGAGATTGTGGCAATGGAGTGGGAGTGGGAAACGCGAATGGAAGCAACAGCAACAGCGGCAGTGGTAGTGGCGGCAGCAGCGGCAGCAGCAGCGGCAGCACGATCTGTTTTGAGCAGCAACGACTTGAGTGAGAGCAACCCGGCTACGGTGACACGGATGCTGATGCTGCTGCTGCTGATGTTTGTTTTTCTTGTTGAGTCGGTGTGATGTTTTTGTGATTGTCATCGCCCTTCTCGTGCCTTCTCGTTTTCCTACCTACACTTGAGAGCAAAAGTAGGATAACTAAGCCATCTGAGCTCTCACAATCATCCTAAATCCCCTGGTTAACCAATCCCCCATCCCTCAAAACCCCCTCTCAGCCACTAACCTCTCAACCAGCACCAGCCCCCAACCTCTTGCCTTCAAACCAAACCCTTTTGCCCTCTCCGCCTCCAATATTGGAGTGACTTTTGAGAATTCTCAAAAGTCACTCCAATTCAAACCAAACCCTTTTACCCTCTCTGCCTCCATCTCAACCTCTCCACCCGTCGGTCCCTAACCTCCATCTCTCCTCCTCTTCCCACCTAACTGACCAATCAAACCCGCCTCATTTAATCCCGCTCCTGCTGCTGCAATACCATGCCCCATCGCATGCCAATAGTTTTCCTGCTCTCCACCTCACACTCATTCAGCACTTCCTTTCCGCCCATGCCTCCCCACCCCTTCCCTCCCTTCCCCACCCCACCCCACCCTATCCCACCCCCCTCCACCCGTCCCTACCGCTCCCCACCGCTCCCAGCCTACCAGACGACTCCCCGGCGTTCATAGCGCATCTGCTGCTGCACTACGATGAGCAGCGCCATGGGGACGGCTTCGTGCTCTGCCACCACTCCTTCAGCCCCTCGCTGCACCTCTCCCGCCTCCACCCCTTCTTCTCCCACTGCCCCGCTCCCCCGCAACCCTCCGAATGTCCCAGTACCTCCCCGCACCCCTCACATGGCGGTTCCCCTCAACGGCGCCCCAACCACTGCTGCCCTGATTCCCCTCACCACTCCGACTGTCCAATTCCTGATTCTCCTTGTGCTACTGCGGCTACTGCCATTCCTTCTGCTCCTTCTGAGCCTGCTTCTGCTCGTCCTGGTTCCTTGTTGGGTGGTGAGGAGTTGAGTGCGGTTGAGGGCGAGGAGGAGAGACGAAGGGGGGTAGATGAGGGCTGGGAGGAAGGGGTGGAGGAGGAGATGGAGAGGGGTTGGCAGGGGTACCAGGCTGCTGTGTGCGATGATGCAGTAGACATTGACTGCTTTATTGGCCTGCACCCACATTTGCAGCTGCAGCAGCAGTACCAGCACCAGCGGCAGCAGCAGCAACAGCATTACCAGCACCAACAGCAACAGCAGCAGCAGACGGAGCAGCAGAAGCATGAGCAGCAGGCGCCAGTGCCTGCTGAATCGTCTGGATATCCCACCACTTCTTACCTCTCTAACCCCTCTCACGCCGCTCATCCCACTCGTCTATCTCACCCCGCGTCCTCGCACCTCACATCTCCTTCGACGCACCCACGGGGCTCCAGCGCTGCTGTGGGGACAATGATGGGGCTTCAAGCCAAGAGACCAGCAGCGCACACTACGGCACACACTGCACCACACACGGCATCGCCGCTTACTAAACCACACACTACACCAGTGGTCCCGGCACCACCGTTGACTGCAGCACACAGTGTGGCACAAGTGGCAGCACAATCTGCAGCACAGAGTGCGGCGCAAGGGCGTGTGCAAGTGCAGGCAGAGGGTCAAACACAGGCAGGGTCACAGGGACGGGGAAAGGCTAAGGGATCGCTCCCATTGGAAATCAGAGCATCTGTTTCTGGCGCCACTGCTGCTGCCACTGCCACAGGCAGTGCTTCAGCTCCTTCTGCTGCAGTACCTGCTGCGTCTGGTGGTGTGGGCAGTGTAATTCGTGAAAGGAAAGGGAGACAACGTGTGGGTGCTGCTGGCGCTGGTGCTGCTTCTACCATTGCTGCTGGTGCTAGTTCTGCTTCAGCGAAAGAAGGGGCAGCAGGAGGAGGAGGAACAGCAAAGCTACACCATCAGTCCATCAAGGTTGAAGGGCAGGGATCAGCCCTGGTGCGAGCTGCATTTCCGAGTTCTCTTCCTCTTGCCACTCCCCGTCCTCCTCTGCCTCCTCTTCCCCCTACCATACCTGCCTCGTCCATCCCTGCTGCTGCTGGTGGTCCTGCTGCTGCTGTATCAGCTGCTACCCCATCCCATGCTGCGTCTGGTTTGGGTTTCACACCTGCTGCTGCCACTGCTGCTGCCATTGCAACTGCCACTGCTATTGTTGCTGCCACTGCCGCTGCTGCTGCTGCTGCGACTGGTGCTCGCGGCAATGCTGCTGGTGGTGCAACCAGGAGTAATGCAGCTGCACAGGTAACAACCCTTGCGGCCCTCCTTACCCAACATCCCTCCCCTCGCACTATCTTCTTCTTTGCTCTGACACTATGTACTCCACCATACACGTTTTGGCTCACGCTTGAGCTTCTCATGCACACCCATTGCCCCTTTACCTTTGCGCCTCTGGGTCAGCCAGTGCAAAAGTCACTCCCCACGCACTCCAAGTGCCCCCCTCTCCAGTACTAAGATGCACCTGCTTTACACCTACCACCCTACCTGCCTGCCTGTTGTGTGGTCCCTTCACACACACGCTCTCGCACCAACCTTTTTCCATCTGCCATACGTGCTTATCACAAGCTCTTCCCCACCTCCTCTTCCATACCCCTGCCACCCACCCTTCTAAACCGTCTGCTCCCCTTCCCCATCTACCTGCCTGTCTGTGATTTTCTTTTTGCAGAGGGAAAAGTCGGGCCGCATTCAGCTGCCCGACCTCGCAAAACATTTCCACCTGCCCATCAACGAGGCTGCCCGGGAGCTGGGCATCTGCCCGACTGTCCTGAAAAAGATTTGCCGGCGCCATGGCATGCGGAGGTGGCCGCATCGCAAGGTAAGGCCGGCAAGCTAAGCTAAGTTTTTATCGACTTTTGAGTCAACAAAAAAAAGTGGCCGCATTGAAAGGTCAGATGGTTTCAGAGAAATCTCAAACTCCTCCTGAGCCACCCAAACAACAATCATCAGCCAACCTGAGAGAATCTGCCCACAGTGGATGAGACACAGGTTGGTTGATGAGTGAACAGTTAGAATGATACGCAGCGGATATATAGAACACATCCACATAGGGCGTTGTGTTGCTGTTTGCGTTTGTTAGAAAGCAACTCAAAAGTTACTCAAATGTGCAACCTTTGTGCGACGCTTTCCCATCCTTTCGTTTGTCCGTTCATCTGCACATCTGTCTGCCTCTCTGAATGTCGTTCTGCTGTGTGTGTGTGTCTCTCTCTCTCTCTCTCAGATTCGCAGCATAGAGCGCATCATAGCGACTCTCGAGGAAACGATCGCCGGAGGGGCGCCAGCGGACGAGAGCATTCTGCGGGAGATCAAGTCGCTCAAGGAGGAGAAGAAGCGGCTGTGCGACGGGCACTTGGGAGACCTGTGAGGCTGTTTGAGACGCCTCAAAGAAAGTCCTCTCCTTACATGTGGACTTCAGAGATCAAGTCGCTCAAGCAGGAGAAGAAGCGACTGTGCGACGGGCACTTGGGAGACCTGTGACGTGACAATGTTTGATTGAGGCGCCTCAAAGAAAGTCCTCTCCTTACACGCTGACATTTTTTATATCAGGCTGCTCAAACAGGAGAAGAGACTGTGCAACAGTCACAAGAAAAGAACGGCAGCTATGCTGTCACAGCATTCACAGGGATGGCAGCGATGGCAACCAAGGGAACACCATTTTACTGGTAGCAGTTCCCTTGACACTACTATGATGAGGCATGGGCACAGTCGCACGAGATGGTCGTACGGTATACTACTGTGGCTCATGGCTGATGGATTGTGAATTGTGATTTGTGGATTGTGTATAGCCACTCCGGTTTGACCCGCCGATGGCAGCAGCACAGCGCAGGTGGAAGACAGTTTCCAGCCATTTTTCCCCTCCCATCCCACCATGAATGCAGCGTTTTTGTTCCTCCCTGTCCTTTCCCCCCTCACTTCGGCCGTCCCTCCCCCGCCACTACACCCATTCAATGAGACCCACTGTACAGTACTCGTTAGTTGTTAAGTAGGAAACCTCATAGAGCATGGTATAGGTAGGTTCAAGCGTGTTGTATTGCAGTTCAAGTTAAGCAAAGGCTAGTCACAACACAATCAGTGTGACAAACGCGTCACAACTCACGGAGCTATGAAAGGAAGAGCAGCACGGATGTGCTGTCAGCCAGTCAGTCAGTCAGTCAGTCAGCCAGTCAGTCAGCCAGTCTGATTTCCGTCTGTCGGTCAGTCAGCAGTAAACTGAGCAAGATGTACGGTACCGGCAGTACGGTAGTGTACCCTCATGCACTGTGCCATGCAATGCAATGCAACAGCTGCCCCACCCCAGGCAATGAATTCATCATACCGTACTCGGGCTTGTGGTCGCCTCGCCACAAAGTTTCATAGCCAGTCTGAACTCACGTCACGACGACCAGCACTGACCAGCACTGACCAGCACTTAGAAAGGAACCGAAAGCAACCGAAACCCCACCAGCTTTCAGTGTGGCAACACCATGTCAACTCCAAACAGCCTCACACCACCATTCCCTGCCCTGACTGACCCCCCCCTCCTTCCCCTGCTCCATCCAGCCGCGTTTTGAGTCGACTCAAAATACATCCGAAACCCCGCCACCTTTCAGTGAGGAAACACCATATTAACTCCAAACAGCCTCACGCCACCACTCCCTGCCCCCCCTCCTTCCACTGCTCCAGCCGCTGCCATAACCGCAGGAGCCGCCATAAGCAATCCAGGACCCAAAACTGCACCAGCGGCCATCATTGCAGCAGGAGCAGGGGCGATAGCTGCTACAGCCGTTGTTGCTGAAGCCAACGTAGCCCCTGCAGTAGTAGAAGAACGGGTGCTTTTGGTTGCTGCAATGCTGCAAGGAAGGGACCCGGCCCCGGCAGCAGCCACTGCAGAGCATCCTGCTGTTGACAAAGCAAGCACGGATGCCAAAGAATCCCCCCGCTCTTTCCTCCCTGCAATCACTGTTCTCTCTTCCGTCCGCCTCTCTTCCTCCTCCCCTCTTCTCCCGATCCCCATTCCCTGACCAACAGCAAGGCTCAAATCCGTCCCCAAGCCATCTCTTGCCCCACTCTTCCCACCTCCACCGACACCCCTTGCCTCATCATCGCCCTTCTCCGGGCTCCCCCCCCGCCATCCACCTCCCCTTCCTTTCCGACCCACTTCAAGAACCCGTTCCTCACACCCTTCCCACGCACCTCCCACCAGTTTTTGAGTCGGCTCAGAAATCGACTCAAAGATCGCCTCAGCACCCCTTGCCTTATCAACCCTTTCCCCTCGCCACACATCTCCCCCTGCTTTCCTACCCACTTCAAAGTTCTTTTCCTCGCACCCTTCCCACCCACCTCCTTCTCCCTTTCGACCCACTTCAAGAACCCGTTCCTCACACCCTTCCCACGCACCTCCCGCCGGTTTCACCTCCCTTCTGCCCTTCTCACCCCACCGCCTCAGCACCAAACTCAACATCACGGCACTCCTCGTCTCTACTCCCTCTCCTCCCTCACCTCCCTCCCCTCCGTACCCTCTGCTCCCTCCGTCCCCCCCGTTTCTCCCCACCACACCACTCCTTGCGCCGTTGAAACCGTCCCACACCCCTGAAAGCGACAAGTTCAAGCAAGCACCACTGTCCACACGACCACGCTTCGTTTCCCCCACCTCCCTCTGCTTCCCCTCCTCACTCTCCCTCCCTTTCTTCCGCCCCACTCCTCCCTCCTCCATCCCCTCCATCCAGTCCCATCCTCCCCCCTGCATTCGGACCATGTCAGGCCCAGCACCGATTTCCTTCTGCTCTTCTCCTGCTGCTTCAAAATGCTTCTCAGAAAACTTGATAGCACCTGATTGTAAGCCAGATAACAATGATGCGGACTCAGGACCAGCAGCACCTGCAGCAGCACCAGCAGCAGCACCAGCAGCACCACCACCAGCAGCAGCACCACCACCACCACCAGCAGCAGCAGCACCACCACCACCACCACCAACACCAGCAGCAGCAGCAGCAGCAGCAGTACCATCCCCATCTGTCTCCACAACACCCACCGAACCTGTTCCCAACCTGTCATTCCCAAGCCTTCTGCTCAGCTGCTGCCTGAACCAAAGCGACAGGCTCGATTCGTCGGCTCCCAACCTCTCTGCCTCCTGCAAGGGCAGCCCCTGCTGCTGCTGCTGCTGCTGCTGCTGCGATTGCTGCTGCTGCGGTTGCTGCTGCTGCTGATGCTGCTGCTGCTGCTGCTGCTGCAGCTGCTGTTGCTGCTGCTGGAAGAACAAGGTCAGCAGCTGCTTCTCCCACGAGTCCTTCAAAACCCCAGGCGAACACACAGGAAGAGCTTCCAACTCCCGCATTCCCACGTCCTTGGACGTTTCCCGCGCAGCAGGAAATTTTAATATCTGTGGCGCTCCAGGCACGTTAGCTGTCTCCGCCCCTGTCAGTGTCAATCTCTCATCGCCACTCCTCGACACGTTTCCACCTGTTTCGGGCTGCAATTTGCTGTGTCCAGTCCGAAACCCTCCTGCGCCTCCCACGCCACTCACACCCGCAACCGACCCAAACGTGGAAGCTTCCAGAAACGCGGAAAGGCTCCAGCTGTTGCTGCCGCCGCCGCCGCCGCCGTCGCCACCGCTGCTGCCGTGGCCGCCACTGCTACCATGTGCCCAGGACTGCAGGTGGTGGTCAGCTGCAAGAGCAGCCGTGCCTCCCAGACGCACGGAATCTGGAAAGTCACCGCCGCCCCTGCTTCCTGCGGATTGCAGTAACCCGCTCAGCTGTCCGCTACCACTGCCGCCATTACCACTGCCGCCATTACCACTGCCGCCATTACCACTGCCGCCACCACCACTGCCGCCACCACCACTGCCGCCACCACCACTGCCGACACCGCTGCCACTGCCACTACCGCTGCCCACGCCGCCGAAGGCTGCGATTCTGTCAAGCCAGCTGTGCGCGGCTCCTGGGCTTGGCTCTTGCACCGTGTCGTGTGGCGCGGATGGGAGAGGGTGGGCGGGGCGCGGATTAGGAGCCGTTGGATGGTGCAGATCTGACGCTGGGACCGACGCCATCGCCAGCATCGCATGCCGCAGCGCTGCCAAGGGGGTGGCGCCGCCCGCGCGTCCGTCCGCCATTGCGCCCATGAGCGCGGCGGCTGCGGAGGCTTTGAGGTTTTCGGGAGGCGCCGTGAACGAATCGGGCGGCGGCGCGGGCGGCGGCGGCGGGGGCGCAGCTTCGCCGCCCACCATGCGTGTGCCCGCGAGTTGCGCCCCTTCCGCGAGGGGGCGCCCGAAACTCGCGCGCACACCTGGCGTGGCAGGGCGCGGCGACGATGTCGAGCCTTTCTGCCCCTGCGCCTGTGATTGCGCGCGCGCTTGCGTCTGTGCTTGCGCCAGCGCCAGCGCTTGCGCGTGCGCCTGCGACTGCTGCGCCAGCGCCTGCCGGTGGCTGCCCTTATGGCCGCCCAGTGCCTGCGGCTTGTGGAACCGCGCGCCGCAGATATCGCACCTGTACCTGCCCTCCGCCGCCGCCGCCGCCGCCGCTGCAGATTTTAACCCCTCAACTTTCACATCCGCGGCGGGGGCGGCGGCGCTGGCGGGAGGCGGGGAATCGGCTACTTCTAATCCGCGCACCCCCTTCGCTCCCACTCCCGCTTCCGCTCCTGTTCCCGCTACGGTTCTCCCTGCCCCTTCCGGCGCGTCGCCGCGAGCGTCGCGAGCGCGGTGCGTCGGAGGGTTTGAGGGCACTCCCCGCTCGCCCGCAGGCCGAGGGGGCGGAGAGGGAAGGCGCCGATGAAGGCGCTCGAGAGGGGAGGGCAGGGCGGAGGGCAGGGGGGACGGCGGGGGGAAGGACAGGGGGGAGAACAGGGGGGAGCGCAGAGCTTTCGTGGGCCACGATTCCGCACCGCGATCTTGATTCGTATCGCAATGATTGTAATCTCCGCCGAGTGCAGCGGAAAACAGCGCATCGGCCATTTTTAACTTGCTGGTTCGCGACATGGAAGGCGCGGCGGCGGCGGCGGCGGCGGCATTATGATCATCCGCGCCCGGCGCGGCGCGGCCAGCTTCGGGCCACGGCGATCGCTCATCCGCGGCACGTGCCACGTTTCTGCCGCCGCCGACACCGCCGTCGCCGGCGCGGCCGCCGCCCTCCCCGCTGGGACATCCGTAGCTGCTGTTAACGTCTCCCGCGGAAACGTTCCCAATCCCCGTCCTACGCGCCGCTGCGGAGAGGTCCCAGATCCGATTCCCCGGAATCTGATTATCTAAACCCTCTGCCGCGAGGAGCTGGCGGAAGTGGCGCAAATCCAGCTCTCCGCGCGCGCGGGGGGAGATCGTTGCGCAGCCCCCCGCGCCAGTTACTGAGGCGAAGGCGGATGCGAGATCCAGATGCGGGGAGAACCGGGAGACGCCGCCGCGGAGCGCGTCGATTGGATGCTGTTGCCGCGCCGACAGCGGCGCGTGCCTGGCGGCGGGGGAGCTGCCGCCCGCGCTCCCGAGGATTGAGCCCGTGACGCCCAGAGTTCTACTATTTGAATCCACGTTACAGCTTGGCGGCCTTGTGACTTCACTGTAGCCAAACGAATCGAGGCCCCGCGTCACTGCACCGAATACTAATCTGTTCTCGCAGGATAAAGCAGCCCCTGGGTTACTACGGCTTGCGCCGATAGTAGTGGTAGCAGCACTGCTGACAGAGTTATTGCTTGCAGTTTGACGGGAACTTACCTGACTGTTTATGGAGCCTAGATAGTGCTCGGAAGAAGGGCGGTCGGCCATGACTGTGATCACTGATAGTATTCTACCTTTATTGAATAACGAGGTCAGAATGACGAGGTGGTATTTCTAATGAGCTAAGTTAGTAGCCTACGACGAACTTGGCGGTGCACTCTGACTAAGTGCTTAAAAAATCGCGATGGAACATGGAGGTTCAACTGGGTCGGTTTGAAGCCGCGATCAGACTCGAAGTTGTGATTATTCATGAACCCCGAGGGCAGTAGCTGAGGCGCGACGCGGCGAACCAGCAAGACGAGCCGCCACTTGTAAGTGATGGCAGAAATTTGAAAGATCTATTGAAGGGACGACGGGAGCTGTGGAAAATACTGTAATACGGAGACGAGGAGAAAGGAATGGCGCACCGCCATTTTTTAGATTGGATCGGAAAGACAAGCAGTAGCTGTTCCAAGAGCCGTGTAGGCGTGATCAGCAAGCCGGTGGGGACGAGGTCACAGAAATTAGGACAGGTCATATTCGTTTGTTCACAATGGACTTTGAAGGGTATATTCTGGTGCGCAGTGGTCTAAAGCGGTGAAATTCGAAAACCGCCCTTTAACGTATTTTACCGTATCAAACAGCGTCAAACAAGCCCTGAACAAAAAAAGTAGACTTCGCGCGTGCTGGATAGCTCCAAGGTAAGCAGTTCCCTTCCCTCGCAAGCAGAGGTTCACGTACGGTCCCCGAGGCGTGGACCTAGATTTCCCCAGCCCTCCCAATTGGTTAACCCTCAACAAATCATTTTTCAAGAAACGATATTATCATGGATGGAATCCAGTGAAGGTAGAAAGGGAGCTGGGCCCGCTCTGTAGCACAGGAAAGAACTGTAAGTCGATGCTCACCCTATCACGGGAAAATGCTTACCTCAATTGTTTAGCCCAATCAGAAGTTAGTCACTCGTCAACGTTTTTACGGGCACTGTCCCAAGGGGTGCAGTCATCAAGTTGCGGAAGCCAACGGCTACAGCAAAAACACATGTGTTGTGGGTCGCATGCGTCATCAGAAATGCTGACCGAGTTCCAAAAGTTTTTCACTATCCATTTGCAGTCCCATTTTTGCCCGTGGCGACACGGGCAAATGTCGCCGAAACGCCAGAACTCGTTTCAGTCCGATGCTTCCCCGCAAACTGGTTGACAGAGCACCGACTGCACGTACTGTACACTACAGTAAATTGAACTGCGCGTGCAAAAAGGAAATGCAATGAAAACCCCCGTGAGGGGAGTTGCCTGCAGCGGGCTGCAGAACAGTGAATGAAATGTGTGGGTGAAACGTCCCTTCCGCGATGCGGTTGGAAGAGGACGACATGGGGGACGAGACGGGCACAGAGAGGGGGCTCGGTTGCTCGAAGAAAACTTCTCAACTAGCCCAACTCCAACTGGCCCGAAACAACCTTCAATCTCCCAAAGCCTTTTCAAAGATTTGCAGTGACTTACAGCGGCAAAATTGCACTCTACAAGTTTATGAGATTTGAGAAGGGTGAGCAATGTGCAGCCCTTTGATTCAAAATTCGGCCCAAACAGCAACCTTGGCTGCGACAAACACATCGACGACAATCATTACTGCGATATCGAACCAATTCAAGTAATCGCATCCCATCCACACAAATAAATGTACCAAGGCTCGTTCACTAAACGTACAGAAGTGAAAACTTCATACACCGGTTTTGCGTTCCCTTCTCTTTAACGTGTAATCAGCAGTGAAGTTGATCATCTTGT